TCCCCAACTCCATCCCATCCCCACCCTTGCCCCCATCCTCATCCCCAACCCTAGCTCCATTCCCAATCCCATTCCCATCTCTGTTCCTGTACCATCCCTGCCCTTGTCCCCATCCCTTTCCTCATCCCTGTCCCCATTCCCCTCCTTGTCCCTAACCCCAGTCCTATCCCTGTCCCCATCCCTGCCCCTACCCCATCCCCATCCCACCCTCGTCCCTGCTCCCGGTGCTGTCCCGGCTCCCGGCTCTGTCCCCGCTCCCGTCCCGCCGCGGGTGGCCCTGCCCAGGCTGTCCCGGCAGCRGCTCCAGCTGCGGTGGCTCCGCTCGGCTCTGCACTCGTGGCTCCCACTCTGTCCCTGCCGCCGGACGGGACCCTCAGGAGCCGCGGGTGTCCCGGCTCCCCGCCAGGAGCCAGTGCTGCCCATGTCGTCACCACCCAGTAACGGTGTCATCCGGGCCTCATCTTGTCCCTGCACGGAGGCTGTGACCCCAGCGCCAGGCCCTGCCCGCAGGAAGGGCCAACAGCCCAAATCCCAGCGGCTTTTGGCCGCTTTTCCTTCCAGCCGCTGCAGCTGGAAGTGACGCTGTCGCCTGGCACTGGCTCCCAGGTGGGATTTGCCCCGCGGACGTTCCCGCTCCCAGCCCCTCTTTGGCCTCTCTCTCGCAGGACGTGGCCCCGGCCGCATCCTCGGGGCTGTGGTGTCGCTGGTGCCACGTGGGACACGGGGCTGCTGCTGGCTCCTTTCCGCCCACGCGGGTGCCCGGGGAGCTCCCGTCGCCTCCCGGAAATCCCGGCTCCGCATCCCCGGGCTCTGCGGGGCCAGCCGCGCTGGCGGGGCTGCTGGTCCCCGCGCTCGCGCCCGGGATCCCGCGGGGGGATTACRCGGCTGGCAAGATTAGCGGCACTAATCACATAAGGTTGTTTGCTGCCGTTAAGTGGAGCTCTCTGCCGCGGCCACGCTGGGTTCCCCGCCCTTTGCTTTGGAAAGCGCAGGGTTTCGCCCCCCACGTCCCCTGTCCCCCCTTGCCGGGTGGCCGGGAGCTCCCCGGCTGCAGCAGCTGCTCGGGGAGGCCCCGGGGCTCTTCATTCGGACCCTGGGGCTTTTTCGCCCTTGTGGCTGCTGGGCTCTGTTCACACAAACCAGGTTTCAAGGCACAGGCCCCGTTTGCAGGGGCTGGCCCGGGGCGTCACCGTGAGCGCCAGGCCGGGCTGGACACCAGGCGGGAGCAGCCCCGTGCGCCGCTGCTGCCGGCGGCGCCGCGAGCGGTTCCTGCTCCCTGCGCCCGCCGTGGCCCTGCCGAGCCCCGGAGCATCCCGGTGCCAGGCGGCTCCTCYGCGGGGCCGTGCTCTGGAACGGGAGGACGGTGCCGGGGCCCTGATCTGCACCGGGAGGCCCCGGTGCCTCTCCGTGCATCCAGGCACTGGTGCCGGCCCCCACAGCCCCGCGGGGCTCCTGCCCGCCCTGGGGCTYGCAGCAGGGCCGGGGGCGCCCGGGGGAGCCCGGGGGGCCGGGGCGCTGCCCACAGAGCTGTCCCTGCGCTGTGAGCAGGGGACAAAGACACCTGGTGTCCCGGGGCTCCCACCTGGGACCTGGCCGGGGGGCTGCTGGCCTGGGCTGCTCCCGTGCCGGGGGGGTCCTTGGTGGCGGCTCGGGGAGGGGATCTGCGCTTTCCAGAGCGGGGCCGGCCGCGCTCCCTGGTGGGGCCAGGACCGGGGCCAGTGTGGGGAGAGGCGGCGCCGGGACTGGGACCGGGGCCGGTGTGGGAGGTGGTGGAGCCGGGATCGGTTCCGGGATCGGGGCCGGGGCCGGTGCCGGTACGGGAGGTGTCGGGGCCGGTGCCGGTGCGGGCGGTGGCTGGAGGCCGGTGCCGGTGCCGGTGCGGCGGTGCCGGTGCGGGCGGTGGCTGGAGGCGGTGCCGCGTGGACGGGCCGGGGCCGGTGCGGCGGGGCCGAGGCCAGTGCGGAGGGCGGCGGCGCCGGTGCGGGGAGCGGCGGGGCCGGTGCCGGTGCCGGTGCGGGGGGCGCGGCGGGCGGGGCGGGCGCTGCCGGGGCGGGCTCGGCGGCTCCGTCCTCCCTCCGGAAGTCTCTCCCGCTCCCTCCTTTCTCCTCCTCTCCGCCGACAACATGGCCGCGAAGTCGGACGGCGGCGGCGGCGGCGGGGGCGGCCCGGCCGTGCGCCTGGAGAGCCCGGGCGGCGGCGGCGCTCCCGGCGGCGCTCCCGGCGGCGGGGGCGGCCGGCGGCGCTACCGGCTCCGCGACGGCGGCTGGGTGCTCTGCGCCCTGCTCGTCTGCTTCGCCGACGGCGCCTCCGACCTGTGGCTCGCGGCCCATTACTACGTGCGGGGGCAGCGCTGGTGGTTCGGCCTCACGCTGCTCTTCGTGCTGCTGCCCTCGCTCGTGGTGCAGCTGCTGAGCTTCAGGTGGTTCGTGTACGACTTCGCGGCCGCCACCAAGGACAGCGCCGGCGCCACCAAGGACAGCGCCCGCGGGCCGCGCGGCTGCTGCCGCCTCTGCGTGTGGCTCCTGCAGGGCCTCATCCACCTGCTGCAGCTGGGGCAGGTCTGGAGGTACGCGGGGCACGGGGGGGACAAGCGTGGAGCCCGGGGGGACGGCGTGGGGACAGGATGGGGACGGGGCCACATCCACCTGCTGCAGCGGGGGCAGCTCTGGAGGTGCAGGGGGACAGTGGGGACAAGTATGGAGCCCGATGGGGATGGGGTGGGGACGGGGCCACATCCACCTGCTGCAGCAGGGGCAGCTCTGGGGGTGCAGGGGGACAGCAGGGGGCAAGGGCTGCTGGGGTGCAACCAGTGGGGTGCACTGGGGATGCTGGTGGAGATGGCTGGGACACAGGTGGGGGCAAGGGAGCAGCAAGGACATGGGTGGTGATGGCAGGGACGCGGAGCAGGAGCGCAGGGTGTGGTGGAGACACCAGCGGGAACACCGGTGGGGTGTGGTGAGGACACCGGTGGGGTGTGGTGGGGACACCGGTGCGGTGCGGTGAGGACACCGGTGGGGTGTGCTGGCACAGCTGGCGGTGCCACTTGGAGCGGGGCAGGGTGGAGGGGACGCGGCAGGGCCGGGCGGGCGCAGGGGGCCAGGGCAGCCGTGGCAGCCCCAGCAGGGCCCGTCGGGGCCGGCGGCGGGAGCGGCCGGAGGAGCCCGCGGGGCTGCAGGCCTGAGTCGCGCCATGGGCAGCGCTGCCGGCTGCTGCACGGCCCCGGCCGCGTGGAGGTACCGCATCCACCGCGGAGCATCTCCCTGCTCCTGTGTCCCGAGCGGGCTGCAGGCAGCACCAGGCGGTCCCCCTGCTTATCCCTCCATGGCTGTTTCTGCTCCCTGGGCCCATGGAGCCGCGTGGAGCTCCAGGTGGCTGGTGGCTGCCGCACTGCTTCCCTCCGAGCCACCCTTCCCTCCCCGCTCCCTCCTGGCTCCTTCCTGGCTCCGTGGAGCACGGTCTGCAGCAGGGCTGGGGAGCGGCCGGGGTGCTGCCACGATCCGGTTCCTGGGGAAAGCTGCTGGGAGGGGAGCGGAGACAATGGCAAATTCCTGGAACAATGCTTGGAGCGAGCCACGCTCCCGGACGCATCAGTGCCTGCCGTGAGCGGAGGCCTCTTTAGCGCCTGCTGTTTCCTGACGTGTTTCTGGGGATGCTCCGGGGGGCTCCAGCTCTGTTGCAGCCCTTAACGTGCTCCCCGCTGCAGAGCTGCTCCCGGCGCGGGGCCTGCCCGGGTTTGCTGCTTCCCGGGAGCCAGCGGCCTCGGATCCCGGATCCGCGGCGCCGCGGAGGCTCCTAAGCCAATTAAAGCGGTAACTCAGAGCACTGACCCTCCGGACACGCTGCTCCCTGGCTGCAGCTGAGGCTCTTCCTAATCTGGGGATTTGCGATTTGCTCGGGTGAGCAGTTAAAGGCAGTTTACTAAACCCATTAGYGAGGCTGGAGCTGGTGCGGGCGGCCGGGCCGGTTGGCGAGGTGCGGAATTGCAGCGGCATGGGGATGGCACGGGGATGGCACGGGGAGGCTCTGCCCTGGCCGGGCCGGAGCTGTGCCCACCCAGCTCCRGCTGCTCCCGGCACCTCTGGGCCTGGAAATCGATGGGTGCTCAGGCTGGGCCCAGCTGTGYGGCAGCCGGCGCCGCGGGCAAGTGGGATCAGGGAACGCGGCTCCAGGATCAGGGAACGCGGCTGCAGTCTCGGTGAGGGGGAATGAGAGGAGCTGCTGAGCTGGCTGCAATGGGCGGCTGCCGCCCTGCGCCCCCCGGGACAGTCCTGGTGGCCTGGATGTGCCGGGATAATGGGCAGCCACGAGTGAGCGTGGAGCGAGCCGGAGCCGGGCGCTTCCCTGGGCTCCTGCCCGGGTGATTGTGCAGCTCAGGGACTCGCATCCCAGGGATTCGCATCCCCGTTGCTTGCAAAAGGTCAACCGTGTTGCGCCGCGTGCGGAAATGCCAAAGGGCCGGGCTGCAGCGYGGGGTCCCCGCGCCGGGGACGGGGCCTCGCGCTCCCTGCCGCGGCCGGAGCCCTCCCATGCGCAGGACGGCGGCTCTTCCTGCCTTGGCTTCCCGGCCCCCTGCACCGGCCGTGTTGGCTGCTCCGAGCGCTGCGGCTGCAGCCGCGCGGGGGCTGCGGGGCCGGCGGCCGAGCTCCCGGCCCCCGCGCGGATGCTCCCCAACTACCTGCCTTGGAGAGGGATAACGGATTAAGATGGCTGCAGCGGGAAAGCAATTTCCTCCTTGTTTAAATGAGGGATTATGGAAAGATGTCCCAAAWCACCCCTCAGGAGAAGCGTGCTCAGTGTCACTCGCTCTCAGCCTGGCCGCTCCCTCCCATTTTTTATCCAGTTATACCAGGGCCTGGCTTTGCTCTCGTGCTCCCTTTTCCCCCAGCACTTGCGGATGGGATCAGGGGCGCGGAGCCAGCTTGGGGCCAGGATAAGGAGCTGCTGCTATCAGTGGTTGTTGCTGCTGCCGCCCGGAGCTCCCAGGGGTCCCGGGATAGCCGGGAAGGGGCAGGGCCGGCCGGGAGGGACGAGCTGCCCTCCGGCCTCGCTGCGCGCCGCCCCCCTTGCCTTGTTCTTCCCAGCACAAAGGAGGCAGTAATTAGCCCGGCGAGGCCGCTCGGGTGGTTTCTGCCTCCTCATCAGGTTTTGGAAAATGAAATGATTCCTTTTTATTCAAGCAAGTGGTTTGGTGCGTGTCCTGCTGCTCGGGGGGCTGTGGGCAGCTCCGCTGGGGAGGCGCCGGAGCCCACGGCCCCGGGGCCCGGCAGGCTGCAGCGGGAGCAGCCGGAGCCATCGGAGCCAGATGGAAGCCTGGAGCCCCACGGGGCCCCGGGGCTCTGGGGGCGATGCCAGCGCCGGGCGCCCGCTCCCACCTGTGCTGGGGCCGCCGGAGCTGCCGGAACCGCCGGAGCCGGGCACGTGGCAGAGCGGGCGAGCGCCAGCAGCGCCTGGGCGCAGAAAGGAGCCTTTGGGACCACGTCAGGGCGCTGCGAGCGCCTCCCGGCCAGCGGCATTGCAGGGCGGGGGTGAAGGCCGCTCTGCGCCCCTGGACCCTGGCAGCCGGTGCCCTCCGTTTGCACCATCCCCCGCCGCCCTGCTCCTCCCTGGGTGCAGCGGGGGCACGGGTCTGGCCGGGGACCCCCCCGCCGGCCGTGCCCAGGGCCGGGGGAGCCCCCGGGGCCTGGYGGGGCCGCCAGCACCGCGGCGGGGCCGCTGCCGGAGCAGATGGCCGGGCGGGCGCCCGAGCTCCCGCGGCTCCTGGCGGCTCCGCCGGCCCAGCTGCTCCCTCCTTCCTCTGCGTCCGGAGGGGGAGCCGGGCCCCGCGCCAGCGGGACGGGAATCGCCGCCTCGGGAAGCAGCCGGGCACGGCGCGGGGTGATCCCGGGCGCCCACAGCGCTGGCTGTGGTGGGAGCTGCCCTGGGAAGGGGAGATGCTGCTGGGAGCAGGGACATGGGGAGCGGGACGACCCGTCAGCCCCGGCGCGGGGTGCTGGGCCGGGGGCTCTGCTGAGGGCCAGCGTGAGCCGAGCTTTGGCAGGAGCGGCACCTGTGCCCCGTGCAGGCACGGGGACCCCCAGCTCCCGGCGCTGGTGGGACGGGGTGCCACACTTGGCATCACCTCTGGGCTTGGCATGGTCCCTGTGCTCGGCCTCATCCCCGTGCGCGGCATCGTCAYCGCGCTTGGCATYGYCYCSGTGYKYRGCAKCGYCMCCRYGCTCGGCATCGTCCCCRTGCTKGGCAKCGTCACCATGCTCRKCATCATCCCTTTGCTCGGCATCGTCCCCGTGCCTGGCACTGTCCCCGTGCGCGGCACCGCCGGCGCCCGGCTCACGTCTCTCTCGCAGGTACCTGCGCACGCTCTACCTGGGCCTGCAGAGCCGCTGGCAGACGGAGCGGCGCCGCCGCCACTTCTACTGGCGCATGATGTTCGAGAGCGCCGACATCAGCATGCTGCGCCTGCTGGAGACCTTCCTGAAGAGCGCGCCGCAGCTGGTGCTGCAGCTCAGCATCATGGTGCAGCAGAACAGCGTGGAGCCGCTGCAGGGTGAGCCCCTCTCGTCCCCGCTCAGCCCCTCTGTCCCCCGCGCTGTCCCCTGCGGTCACGGCCCCTGTCCCCTTGTGCCCGCAGGGTTCTCGGCCTCGGCCTCGCTGCTCTCGCTCGCCTGGATGATCGCCTCCTACCAGAAGGTGCTGCGGGACTCGCGGGAGGACAAGATGCCCATGTCCTACAAGGGCGCAGTGGTGCAGATCCTGTGGCACCTCTTCACCATCGCCGCCCGCGCCATCGCCTTTGCCCTCTTCGCCTCCGTGTTCCAGCTCTACTTTGGCATCTTCATCGTCACCCACTGGTGCATCATGACCTTCTGGATCATCCAGGGCGAGACGGACTTCTGCATGTCCAAGTGGGAGGAGATCATCTACAACATGGTGGTGGGCATCATCTACATCTTCTGCTGGTTCAACGTCAAGGAGGGACGGAGCCGCTACCGCATGGGCATCTACTACGTGATCACGCTCTCGGAGAAYGCCGCCCTCACCGTCCTCTGGTTCCTCTACTACGACCGCGAGACCACGTCCGACTTCGACGCCTTAATCCTTGTCTGCGTGGTCAGCTCCAGCTTCGCCCTTGGCATCTTCTTCATGTTCATCTACTACTGCCTCTTGCACCCCAACGGCCCCATGTTCGGGCCGCCGTCCGGGGGCTGCATTTTCCAGGAGGCGCCGGCGCCGGGGCCGCCGGCGGACGCGGTCACGAGCCCGCCGCGCTCGCTGCCGCGGACTACAGGCGCGGAGCGGG